AGGTCTTCTTCATGGGATTGCTTCGTCATCGTTCTGCTTCGGGCATTAGACGTTTGTCTGGGTCTAAAACATACACACACACACACACACACACAGAGATACAAAAAAAGTATCTGTATCTGCAGCATAACAATTTGTATGTGTGTCATTGTGGCAATTGATTTGAATCGCGTGCATGCAACCTGATAAACCATCGTGAATGGTGTGAATATGGAATGGCTTATAGACATATAGTACGTACTCGTGTATTTTCGCCTTTTATGCCTTGTTACTGTTACGTGGCTTGTGCCCAGAATGGCTAATGAGCTGGCCAAAACGGGCCACAAGTACTTCGCTAATAATAGCCAGTTAACTTGAGACTTTCATTGGCAGGGCCCAAGCCAAAAGTGTTCTTATTGAGAGAGAGTGTTGAATACTAATTTGTTGAAGGATAATGTAATATGTGGTAGCAGATAAGGTTACTACTAACTTTAAAGAGCTTTTTAAGTTGAATTTCCATTGGAGTTAGCAGGGGAATATTAATGTCTTAAAGGATGCAGGCACTCACTTAAGAAATTGTACTTTTAAAACTTTGTCTAAAGCATAGAAAAGGTTTCTAAAATGAATACATATGGGTTAAGTTAATAATCAGAAGTTAATTTCATATTTATTTTAATACTCAAATATTCCAAAGATAACACAAACTCTCTGTCTCTCTGTCACGTCACCAAAGAAAGCTGATCTCTACCAATATCTTCTCTATAAAAAGTAATTGATACTGTCGTGGGGGGTACAAACCCCCACTCATATTCCCATTTGGCTAATTAATTAGTTGCATATACTCACGAGTGTATTACCCAACCTATTTTGCAAACATTTGTGTAGAAGAATGGCATATCCCATCCCTTCAGTTGGATCCCATTAACATGGCTTTTAATTACCCCATTACAGCCGTTCCCCAAACTGAAATAAAATTGGCCAAGACAAAGACAGAAGCTAACTGTTTTGCACAACGCAATTCGCATTAATTAAACTTTATAGAGTGGGAATAGCACACCCCGAAAATGTCAAAATGTCAGGCAATAAAATCACATTGATGGTGTGGCGAAATTCTGTGGAAAATTATCGCATTCTATAAAGGAGAATCTTCCAATGACTCATAGTGCTTATATATATTTATATATTTTTTATTTTTCAGCATTTCAAGTACATGGCGAAAAACATAAAAGTTATTAATTAACACTTGGTTGGTATCTTTCAGGAACATCTTTAAGCAATTGGCTAGCAGTTTCTCGACTTGCTTTTGTTTTTGGCAAACAAGTATTTCTTTGGCTTTTACCACTTTTCGCCTCGTCTCAGGCATTATTGTTTCTCTTTTGTGATTAATGGGTGCGTTACCATTGGGATTTAGTGCGCGACTGACTTCGGCTAATACCAAACCAACCCACTCCCCTCCAGCATTTAGCTCCACCCATAAAGCATCTCTCATGTTTTTTCAATTACACTCTCGTCTGTTTGAATTTTGCGCCACATTTTTAATGCCGAAACCATAAAAGTGCTCATGTATGTATGTGCAGAAATAAAAATAACAAAAAAAAAAAAGTAATAACAAAAAAATGGCTAAAATAAAAGCCTGGTTTGAAGATTGAAATAATGCTCGTTAGTAGCAGCAGCTACCGAACTATAAAGCGCATAGTTAGTTATAGTAAAAAAAAAAAGAAAAAACCTCTGAAATTAGTTTCGAATTTTGAAAAACTCAGTTTGCTATGGCGGAATGCCTTAGTCACGCCACCTGCTGCAATCCACTCTTGGCCAGGTAAGTAGGTAGGAAGGTAAGGAAGGTACTAAGCGCACTCCAAAATCTATTTGGTAAACATTGGACGAAGCGTGTGGAATTAAAGCCAAACACGATAATTGTGCCGAGACTCCAAAAAACTACGAGAGATTGTCAAGGTCGTCTGTCTTACACGAATAAATCTGGTAATTGGTTAACTATGAGTGAGAATAATGTTAGATCTTCATAGTTAATGACTTATTAATTTAGTGATTATCAGTAAGTACTCAGAGGAGAACGAGACAGAAGGAGAATTATATTTAATAACTTGTAATTAAAATAAAAACATTAACTTCTTAAGTAGTAACCAAAAAAACAAAGTTTTATCCGCATTTCCTCTATATAAACCCAATTCATTCTGTATTCCTCATTATCAAAGAGACCCAGTAGGGCTTCTCCCACTAAGTATATATCATAATGCTGGCTTATCGGAAACTACACATTGAACACATTTAGAGTGGTGGCCCCATGCATCGACGGGAAATGAAAAAAAAAAGGGCGATGAACAAAGCAAAGAATTCAAAGATACGAAGAGCAGGGAAACCCCATTCCCTTCCAGTAATTTGAGACATTGCCTAAGGGCATACAAGGAACAAAATAATCAAAACCTTCGACGGATAAACGCCTGAGTGCAGCAGGTCAGAAAGGACCCCGGCCTGCCCTCGATGTCCTCGGCAAACACTTCATTTACGGATGTCTACTCGAATTGTATCTCATGGATGCGAAACCCCAGCTCTGCTGCTGACTCATTTTTCCTTGAGTTTCCGAACAGGTTGGCCGTTGGCCGACTCATACACATCCCCACCCCCCGCTCAGATACAAATGCAAATGCCCACACAACTGCGCAAACATTGCGAAAAACATTTACTTGAAGTACGGGAACAACTACTACGCCCAAGCGAGCTGAAATGCCCTGAAATTGCATGGAAATTAACAAAACAAAATGCAATAAAATACAGCTAAAAGGTAAGGCTTTTGTAGGGGTATTCGTTGTAGAGATACCTCTTTATAAGTGATCTGTTGAGGGGAGTAAACTATCAGATTCAGATTTTATCTATAAATATGAATAAAACGTAGAAAACTAGAAAAACTAAAGCAAGCAAGGGCAAGTACTATTGTTTGGGCTTTTTTTTATAACTTAAAGACTAAATTGAAAGGGAAAAGTGAGGGCTAAACAATAAATTAAGATTACAAAAGTAACCCAAAAATGTAATTTTCTATTGAAACTCAATTTTTAACAAATTTCATAACCACAATCAAATTTTTTACCAATAAAGAAACATTTACTTAAACACAAAGTATCTGCTTCAAAATCACCATTTAAATTAAAACCTCTAGATTATTCCAGGTGACGTAAAATGAATAAACATAATCCCTAACCCTTTGTCATAACAGAATAATCCCAATGGAATTGCACAATGCAATTCAAGGCTGTAACTTAATTGCTGAGAACTTGCATTCAATTTGCTCGTTCATTGTTCTCTAAAAACTCCAAGTTCGAGTATACCCTTGTGAAACTTCTGTGCTGGGTACTTGGACAACTTAAAAGCGAACTAAGAAACACAAGACGACGACAAAATTTACTTTAGACCAAGCTCAAGCTCAAGTCGGAGTTGCAACTCCGGTGCTCAACGCTCGCTGCTCGAGTATACGAGTCGATGCAATCGGCCAGCGAATTCGAACGAAAGGTACTTGAAAAAGTGCATGCGGGTTCATTTCCTGTTTGCTCTTGCCATTTCAGATGCACTTTAAGAAATTCTACAGATTTTATAGATTTTACAAAGTGCAAAGGATAGGAAGTCCAAGTATTTTAAGATGAGAAATGTGTAATGTTGAAAATAAAGCCACAAAATTATGAAAAAAGGAAAAGAAGTTCAGACTTAAGTTCTTGTTAGTTTTAACTATGATTTTCAGACAGAAGAAAGACTAACATTTAAGAGAGTAAATTTGTATTATTTATTTAAAAATGTCTTACTAAATGAAATTTTATTTTTTACCAAAAAATTCCCATAATTTATGGGTCTGAAACATATTTTTCCGTGTATCTTAGAGAGGCTTCTTGCCATTTTGTGATGTCAGCTCGAACTCGACGACAAACATGCTCAAGCTGTGGCGATTTCCCCCCCATTTTTTACCACCCAACCATGCAGACTTAAAGGTTTTTAGATATACCATATATATATTTTTGTGTTTTAAGGTTTTTTGTGCTGTTGTTTTTGTGGCTAACTTTTGCCTTCTTTTCTGCACTTTTGGCCGTTTGAGAGGCGCTCTCTAATTTGCCTACAGCGGTTTAACGATCATCGGATATTAGGTTTTTTGGCTTTACGTCAGTGCAAATTATAATCACGTAGGTTACGTTTTTTGACACTTTTCCAGCGGCTCAACTTTAACGGTAAACGAAGCCATAGTTTTATTATTATTTATCTTTCGACTACAGTTATTAATAATGATTGGTTTTTGGCCAGAGCTGCGGGCCAGGAAAGTGTTTATCGTCGGATGGATCGATTATCAATTACATATACATAATTTTTCGGCTTTTTTCGCCACATTCATTTTGGGTCTTTTGATTAATTGACCGTTAGCAAGTTGTCATTTTGATTGCGTTTTAATGCGACGCTGAACTTTCAATTATTAGGTAAACCAAATTGCTCGAAAATGTCGCAGAAATGTCGATGAGGTAATACGTATATAGTCCTCAGGCTAGACAACATAACAAAAATGTTTTTGAAATTAAGTCACTACTACTACTCACTATTTAAAATACAGTCTTTACATAAATTGTTTCCCACGTTTCGATGAACTTGTATACCGAATTGATAATGAAAGTGTTAATTTTGCTTTTGTAGTCCAACTGGTTCTGGCGACATTTTTGCAAAATCAATATATTTTTATTGTTTAATTGATTTTAAAATCAAGAAGATATTCTAGCTTTTAAATTCGAAATTTTTGTTTTGTTTTTGTGCTATAAATATTTATCACTGTTGGTTCTATCAATTTGTTAACAGCCAATAAGTTGTAAATACTTTTACTTATTTAAAATCTTTTTAGGTATAAAGTTTGAGTTTGGGTAATTTTTAACAAGTTATGCTGTAAATTCAACCAACATTAACTTCATTTGATTCTAAACAGAATAGATTCCAATTTTCCCCATGACCTTATGAGATCACCAAAACCCATCCCAACTCACCTTTTGGAATTACTTAAGCGATCTTCGCCGGCTCTTGTTGGTGCCTCGTACAGCATTCAAATTGGACCAATTGGGGCAGAGTTACCAACTGGCGTGCTGATCTCGTTAGAATCTAAGCTCGTTTCTTTCCGTGTTTTTTGGGTTTCTTATTTTCAGATGGGAGACGAAGCGAGACGCGGGCTGGCACTTGGTATGGGTATAGATATATAGATATAGGTATAGGTATAGGTACTAGGAAGGGGTACTTGTTGCTCGTTGTTGGACTCCAAGACCCAATCCCCGAACCTCAAACCTCGGATCTGGACGTCGGCCAGAAAATGGAAACGCGATTAGAGGCAAGCGAAAAGGGTACGGGTACACAAAAAAGATGCAGAGCCAGCAGCACGAAATAATATAGCAGAAGAAAAAAAACGAAAACAATGCCAGAAAAAAATCAACATGCACACACTGACACCAAGAATATGTATCTTAAAACTGGTTTAAGATTTGTCGGGGATTTGTTGACTCGGCCGCATCGAGTGTGTGTCTATGGGGGCTCTGTTTGTACTTTCCAATAACAAATCCAACTTCTTGTTTAACTCTTTGAAAAACACACACACGGATATCAAATATTTCCATACAGAATCTTATTCCGAAACAACTGTTGCGCCTCTGTGGGAGGCAAGAAAATCTTGCAAAGATCAGTTGATATTAAGGATCTCACGCACTTAAACACCGTTTGACAACGTTATTATATTTATTTAAATTATTTATATTATATAAAATGTACCGGCACAATACTCGATCGCCGTTTCAAAAACATTCAATTCCAAACACCGGGACAACGGAGCGAACGCGCGAACCACCCGCGACATCCATGAAATACAAACTGAAACGAAACGGCACCGAATGCTGCCTAGAGATGGTAAGACACTGCACTGGCGAATAGAGATGTGTTCGTGATGGGTCTCCTTGGTGCACAATTATCGATGGGAAAAGAAATTTAAAAAAGTTATATTTATGTGATTTTTATTCACAATGTATTTCCTTTAGATACAACTTTACTATGTGCCACGATAAGTAGAATAACCAAAGGGGTTAAGTAACAAAGGGATATGATAATGTTGATTTTCACTGCAATCCACAATTATATCAATTACTGGATATAAAGTTTTCACATTGCGTTCCGCGAAATAGGCGCCCACGTGATAGGTGAGCTTGTAAATACCACTGGGAAATTGCCCAGGCTCCAAAAGCAAGCATCGACCATCAGCATCTGTTTGGGCCGCCCGAAGAGATCTCCACTCCTGGATCTCATCCAGCCTGGAAACGGTTACTCTGACATTGGCGGCTGCTTTTCCTACTGAAGTGTCCTGAAATAGAGATATTTACAAATTTTACTTGTAATTAATATAAAGTAAAATATCTATATAAAAAACAGTTTACCAGTATGTGAGTAGAAAATTTACGTGCTTCCATTTTAAAGGCAACTTTAGGACTGATCGTAAGTAACTTTGCAGATAACAACAGCTCCAGTAAATAATACATTTATCTAAATATTTAATTGCATTTAGCATTAATCTGGGAAAAGTACTGATAAGCGGGATGAAAGAAAGATAAGATAAGGGCGATAATAACAAAAGATTTTTTTGAAAGGTTCTTTAAAAAGAATTATTATGTTCCTTAAAACTTTTTTTTTAACTTTCCATATTCCATTTCCGATATTCCACAAATTCTACTGATTTAACTTTGGCGGCTGGCGAAACTGCGCCACATACGGTCACACAAACTTCTCCGTTTGAACTGCACGTGTTTACCATTTCGTTTGCTGGGCTAACTTTAAACATTATCCCACAATGGCAGAGGAAGGACCACCTGAGGCTACCATCGACTTTGTCCCAGCATTATGCTTCGTCCCACGGGGCGTGGCCAAGGCTACTCCCGATAAGATCGTGCTGACAGAAGCTGAGCTAGCTAGGATTATCGGTGATACACAGCAGGAATTAAACGAGGAGAGTGACGATGATGCGGAGGATAACGAGGAGGCCGCAGAAAATAATGACGACATGGATGTGGACGACCATGAAGATGCCAATAGTGAAAACCGTAATCCTCAGGATGAGTTTGAATTCCAGAATTACGATAACGAGGAAAACGCCAATGTCACCAGTTTGGCGAACATCGTAGATGCTGGCGAGCAGATACCTGATGAGGAGGAAGGACTCGAGGCGGAAGATGAGGTGATCAAGCCCAGTGACAACCTAATTCTGGTAGGTCACGTCCAGGACGACGCCGCCTCCATGGAGGTGTGGGTTTTCAACCAGGAGGAAGAGGCCCTTTACACCCATCACGACTTTCTGCTTCCCAGCTTTCCGCTCTGCATTGAGTGGTTGAACCACGACGCGGGCAGTGACAAACCGGGAAATATGTGTGCCATTGGCTGCATGGACCCAATCATTACTATTTGGGATCTGGACATCCAGGACTCCATTGAGCCCACTTTCAAGCTAGGCTCCAAAGGCAGCCGCAAGCAGAACAAAGAACAGTATGGACACAAGGATGCCGTTTTGGATCTCTCGTGGAACACAAACTTCGAGCACATTCTGGCTAGCGGTTCCGTAGACCAAACTGTGATTTTGTGGGATATGGATGAGGGTCAACCGCATACCACCATTACAGCCTTTGGCGAGAAGGTACAGTCAGTAGAATTCCACTCCGAGGATGCGCAGAGCATCCTAACCGGTTGTGCCGATGGATTTGTTCGACTCTTTGACTGCCGCGACGCTGATGCAGTGAACTCGTCCAGCATTGAGTGGAAAGTTGACGGTGAAGTGGAGAAGGTCCTGTGGCATCCAACCCAGAAAGACTACTTTATCGTGGGCACAAACGATGGCAGTCTTCATTACGCGGACAAGCGATCTCCAGGCCAGTTGCTATGGTCCGTTAAGGCCCACAATGAAGAAATCTCTGGGGTGTGCTTCAACAGCCAGATGCCCAACCTGCTGACCTCCACCTCAACGGAGGGCACCCTTAAAGTGTGGAACTTCAACGGTACGGAGGCTAAACACGTCTACGAGCACGAGTTTAACATGGGTCGCCTGCAGTGCATGCGGCAGTGTCCCGAGGATCCCTACACCCTTGCCTTTGGCGGAGAGAAGCCTCCACGATGTGCGATCTTCAACATTAAGAACTCGATAGCCGTACGCCGGTCGTTTGGCATCGCCGATGCGGAGTAGTGAATGCATTCGTCTGCGTATTCATCTTTGTATATGCTTTCTATGACTTTTTAAATAAATGTGAATTATATATAAGGACCTTAATTCCTAACTTTTTCATTGATACAAATTTATTGATAAATTGTGTATATTTGCACTTTACACTTTTCTGCTTAATAATAAGGACATTCCAGGGGCGGGGATAGACACAAATGGGTTACAAAACTTTAATCCTAAACATTCCGATCATTCCTTAAGTCTAATTTACGTATACTAAAAAAGCTAAACACTGATCCTAACTCTTGAAAAGACCCACACACATGAGGAGATTACGTCTCGTGAAGTGCAGGGTGACAAACGGCGAATTCTTGCTGGGGAACGTGCGCATCAGGTAGACGTCCTCGTCATTCTCATCCTGATGGTGCGACACAGTAATGTGATTGCTGATATAGTCCTCGGTGACCTTGTGAAAGTCCCAGAGAGTAAGGTTGTTATCCAAACCAGCAGCCGCCAGGACAGTTCCATCGCGACTAAAGGTAATCGTGGTCACGGTACTAGTGTGCCTAAGCAGTGTCGTGACCAGAGCACCGCTCGACAGATCCCAAATGATGATGTTGTGGTCCACTGATCCCGAGGCCAGATACCGTCCGCAGGCAGAGAATGCCAGAGAACTTACCGAACCCTTGTGTCCTGTCATTAGGCGTACGGACTGTCCAGTCATGTTGTCCCATAGACGTACAGTGCGATCGCTGGACCCAGTGGCCACGTAGTTGGAATTAGGATGAAATTGCACACAGTCTACGTCTGACAGGTGGCCCACAAAGACGCGCAACGCTTGATTGGAATCCGTGGCCCACAGTCGAGCCGTTTTGTCGTAGGAGCAAGAGACAAAATAGTACCCATGAGGCGCAAAGCGCACATCCCAAACTGGGTAGACGTGTCCGCGGTAGGTGACCACGCAGGACCACGTGAGCAGGGACCACAGCCTTATAGTGCTGTCTTCCGAGCAAGAGAGCAGCAGGTTCATCTCAGGAGCAAAGGCACAGCGGTAAACAGGTCCAGTGTGACCGAGAAAACTTCTGGTCACCTCCCCGCTTCGATCATCCAACATACGCACATTGATATCCGCCGACTCCTTGTCCAGCTCACGTAGTGCATCTGCATCCTTGAGCGCACGCAATTTAGCGGGAGTTAAAGACCAAATCCTGACGCTGGAGTCACCAAATCCGCAGGCCAGCATCGTGGAATCATCTGAGATCTCGGCACATGTGACGCCCTGGTGAGAGTTAAGCACTGTATAGAAGACAGCGGAGGGCAGTTGATCCTTGCTCAGGGCCAGACGCTTGCTGGCTTCTCTAAGAGCTTTTAACTTTAGTAACTTGTCCGAGTCCTTCAGTTCCGGTAGCGGAATTCTGTCGATCGAGGGAGCATTGGGATCCGATTTAGACTTCTTCGACAGTAACGGATCCTTTTTTGGTTTTTTCTTCTTGGGGCGATCCGGCGCATCAGGATCATCATCCTCCTCCTCTGCCGCCGGCGCAGGGGTGGTAAGGGTCTGGAAGTCTACCTCCTTCAGCAGTCCGTAGTACACACGCATTTTATTATCCTGTCTTTTGGCCTCACCGATGTGGGAGCCCGCGGTGGCGACGCACTGCAGCTTGTTGCGCGCCATGCCCTCATAGGTGTCAAAGTGCAAGTACTTGGACACTATGTCCGCCACTACTTCTTGTCGGCGATCTTGAATGTGTCGCTTAAACAACGAGTGCGAGTCCCTGGACATGCGGATCACAAACTTATCCTGCTCCATGGCGGCCACTAAGTCGTTATCCAGCAATTCCTCCGGCTTGGACAGCAGCAAAAGGTTCAAAAGACCCTCTATATAATAGCCGTCGAGATCGCTTTTGTACTTTTCAATGAAATCTTTGGCCTTTTCCCTAAGCCCACTGGCGAGGATCTTAAAGTAGATTTGCACCAGAATGGGATACAGAACCATTGACAGCTCGTGCTTGTAAATGTCCAAGGAATCTTCCACGAAGGTGCGCAGCTCCTTGTAGGCTAGCTCGTAGTGCTGGGCATCGAAACTATCGTCGCCGATGAACTTGGCCAGTGCCTCCGCTGCATTTGCTTCCGTCACAGCTGATTGCTTGTGATCCTGTGCCGGGAGAGGGACATGTTTCCGCTCCCGGTCGGCATCTCCGAGACCCAGAGCTGCGCCAAGCACCTGCTGGACATCACTTTCGGTGATATCTGACAAATCTGCACTGCTTACATTGGCCTCTTGGCAGAGCAGTTCCTCGGTGCTCTTCAGCTGGTATTTCTTGATAAGTTTCAGTAGGCATAGCAATTCACGCTTATCGTGCGACGTTTGGGTGCCGTTTCCGCCATTAATATTACTCATTTCAAGACTCATTATTGTAGAAAATAAAAATACACCGAACCTGTACTATTTTGTTTTGCGTGGAAATGTGACCAGTTTTTCAGCGGCTAAAAATACCGTGGTGCTCTGTGTAATATTTTAAAAAATATACTGAATGTGCCGAAAAGGTGCAGTGAATACAAATTACAGAGTCTCATTTATTAAATATTAAATAAGCAATATGATGTTGTCCTATAAAATTCACTTTTGAAGTATTGTAAAATCAAAAGAACAATTTTTAGAAATCGCGTGCTTACTTTTAGAAAATTATAACACAGTAATAGGTTATTAATTTCCTAGTGTAATAATGGATAGTTTATCGTAGACTGGTAGAGTTGCCCCAAAACTTTTGGTATTTTTCTGTGTATTTTTGTTACCAGAACCAAAACATTCGTAATGAAGAGGAGAGTAATTATAAAAAAGGTAAAATTTAACGTAACTGGCGAAGCAAATTTTGTAATTTCTATTGCAGATAGTAATAACATGCTGTGCATTAACTGTATTAACTTGCTATTGCGTATTTCAGTGTATCTGTCTGGCGCCCAACCCCCAACTCCTTGAACTTTGACACTGTCTTTCGAAATTAACCCTTGTACTCGTGCTTTCTTTTGTGTTTTTGTCCATAGTTATTGTGAAATATGAATGAAAATGATGCTGCGGTAGGTCAACAACTAATATATTAAACCGTTTAGCTAATTCCCCATTCGATTCATCCAGAAAAAGGTCGTTGGCAAGCGGAATTCGGTGTCATTCGATCAACAGGATCCTGGTCAACCCAGATTCTGTTTCTCCGGTAGAGTTCAGGAACTAATCGAGGGCTACAACTCCGTCGTACAGCTACTGGCGCCCAAGTGGCCCTGGTTTCTCTACCCCGGATATCTGACATACGCCGTATACTGGCGCTACGCCAAATATTACAAGGACAAGTTGCTGCTGACCCCCATTCCGAATCGCCTCTACGATCTGCTGATCAAGAACGAGCTGATTAAGTCGGAGCACCTGGTGTTCGCTAGTCGGGAAGTCTACGACACCTACGCCGAGTCGCCAGACGTCAACTTTGTTAATTTGGTCATCGGCGGGGGGAGGGCTAGGATCAGTAAGCAACAAAACGGCAATGGAGGATCTTCATCCCAAACGGTTATCAAGCAAATGCTGCAGGAGGCTCCGCACACCATTGTTGCCCAGATACTGCCCTTGGCCCAATGTCAACCGAATTGTTTGTATGTCCAGGTGGGTATCTTATATATAAATATACTAAATCAAGTTATAAAAATCCGTGCCATCTTTCAGGAAAACTTCTATGGCAACATACTGGATCGCTTTCGAGTCCGCTCTAACTGTTGGGTCCAGCTAGACCATTTTGCCGATGAGCAGACTATTCCTGGAATAGCAACCAAAGCTCATGTTTACTTACTAACAGATCCCCACGAATTACCCGCTGAACTGTCCGAGATCATCCTAAGCAATTACTTCAACACCCCCAGACTCCTGCATCGTGGGCACACTTACCGAATTGAAGTGAACGCCGAGTTGGTGGGCACTGCAACTTATGCTCACTATTACCTAATACTTGCGAACCTACGTCAAGTGTACTTAAAGTGTATTCACTTGGAAACTAAGGGCAGTGAGTTTGAGTTGCAAGCAGTTGTGGCCAAGAACTTTAGCAACTTGGTTCAAGTACCATCAGCCCACAGTTTCCTGCCTCGTCAGGTGCTAGACAGCGTGGCTATCGTGGAGAACTATCCAAGTGGCTTGCGAAAGCCTTACAAATTATTGCGCTCATCGGTGGATGCCTTCCTGCCCAAGAAATCAGCTTGCTTATCCTCAAAGCACATCTTTCCTGTATTTCTGCTACAGGGCGAGCGAGGATCTGGCAAGTCGAAGCTCGTAAATGCCGTAGCTCAGGAGCTGGGAATGCATATTTATGGAGCGGATTGCGCAGAGATCGTTTCTCAGGTTCCCTCTCACACCGAAATGAAGCTGAAGGCGGTCTTCGCCAAAAGCCAAATCAGCGAACCGCTCTTGATTTGTTTTCATAACTTCGAGGTAAGTCGGTATCTTTAAAATTTAAAAAACTAAAATTAATTACAATACCTTAAATTTCAGATATTTGGCATAGACAACGAGGGCAACGAAGATCTTCGCTTGCTTTCCGCTTTTCACGTTCAGGTACAGGAACTCTTCAATCGGGATCGCAAGCATCCAATTGTTGTGGTGGCTTTGACCAGCGACAAACATCTTAAGCCGATGATTCAGGGTCTCTTCTTGGAGATCATAAACATTGAGATGCCCAGCAAGGAGGAGCGATTTGAGATACTACGTTGGATGCACGTTCGCGAGACATTTAACGATGTAATCCATAACCAGAAGGCCATCGATCAATTGCCCTTGTTTTCTCGTGAAAATCAATTGCGATTCATGCCTCGCGTATCCCCCAGTTGGAGGGAAAGCCTGAAGGTACTGCAGGACGTGGCTGCCAAGTCGCAGGGATTTCTGCTGGGCGACCTGCAGTTGCTCTACGACAGTGCAGTTCGCATGAAGATTCGCCAACGGTTAGGTAGGACCACTCTGGATATGTCCCACTTTGCCAAGAACCTAACTGATATGCAGAGTTCCTTTGCGGATAGTTTGGGTGCGCCCAAGGTACCGAAGGTTTATTGGTCGGACATAGGTGGTTTAGCCAAGCTGAAGGATGAGATCCAGAGTAGCATAGGCCTACCGCTAAAGCACGTTCACCTGATGGGCAAGAACCTTAGAAGATCGGGCATCCTGCTCTACGGACCACCAGGAACTGGAAAAACCCTGGTGGCCAAGGCTGTGGCCACCGAGTGCAACCTTAGTTTCCTTTCCGTACAAGGTCCGGAGCTGCTGAACATGTACGTTGGTCAGAGTGAACAGAATGTTCGAGAGGTCTTCTCTCGTGCGCGGTCAGCTGCTCCTTGTGTGCTCTTCCTGGATGAACTGGACTCCCTAGCTCCTAATCGAGGTGTAGCGGGTGATTCGGGTGGCGTTATGGATAGAGTGGTGTCGCAGCTTCTAGCTGAAATGGATGGTATGAGCGATGGCGATACAAGTAAACCCATTTTTATACTGGCCGCTACCAATCGCCCGGATCTTATTGACCCCGCCCTTTTGCGCCCCGGTCGCTTTGACAAGCTTTTCTACGTGGGCCCATGCTCCACTGCCGATGACAAGGCAGCCGTTCTACGTGCCCAGACCCAGCGCTTCGCCTTGGATGCCGGTATTGACATGGACCAGATTGCAGAGCGTCTGAAGAGTGAAATGAGCGGTGCAGATCTGTACTCGATTTGCTCCAATGCTTGGCTCTCTGCTGTAAGACGTACCATAGACAGACACTTGAGTGGAGTGATTACAGAAAAGGAGCTGGTGCCGGAGAACGTGATCGTGGAGGCTGAAGACTTTACCAAGTCATTTAACAAGTTCGTGCCCTCGATTAGCTCAAAGGATCTTGAGTATTTCAACAACCTTAAGGCGTCATACAGTGTTTAATGTTCCCACAGATCGTTAACTAGTTCTAAGAGTGAGTTTTTCATAGAAATGTTTCGTTATTTTTCAATAAACCCGTTGATTGTTCACAATTCTCAACGAAATTTCACTCGTTTTTGCCATTCGATGGTGTAACTGTTGTTGATATAGGACACTAACGTGTGGGAATTAGACATTAAGCGTTTTGGAAGGCCGCAGGTGGTACGTGATACCAATTAACCTTGACCCTGCCAAAACGAAAGTGAGGTCTTATCATCTTGAACAGCAGCTACCCCCCATGTAGAGTAGGGAAACTGCGTGTTCTCATTGGGATGATCTCTGCAATGATCTCTATAATCTCGGGATGAGGAGGGGTCCCTTATCAATTTCAGCCGGCAGACAGTGTTCTTATCGCGATTCCTCGGTTTATGGACCCCGCTAGGCCAAAGCTGTTGATGCTGGCCCCTAATCTTACTGAGTTTAGTTCGAGTCTGGGAGGTGCGACGAAAGGTTTTGCCAAACATTTATATATTTCCATTCTCCTGTTACGTAACAGACATGGCTTTGGTGTGCGTGGAGGACTTTGAAACGAAGGCAGCTGGCCAGCTGGAGAAGAATGCTCTGGATTACTACCGCAGCGGTGCCGGTGAGCAGTTTACTCTGGGGCAGAATCGTGAGGCTTTTCGCCGGCTGCGTTTACGTCCTCGCTGCCTGAGAGATGTCTCTCGCTTGGACATTGGCTGCACGATCTTCGGTGAAAAGATGAAATGGCCACTGGGCATTGCTCCCACTGCGATGCAGAAGATGGCCCATCCGGATGGTGAAACTGGCAATGCTAGGGCGGCAGGACAAGCTGGTTCCATCTTTATTCTCAGCACGTTATCCACAACTTCGATCGAAGACTTGGCAGCCGGAGCTCCGGACACGATTAAGTGGTTTCAGCTATACATCTACAAGGATCGGTAAGACATTACTCGTATATAGAGGAGTATATTTATAAGTAACATTTCTTTTTCAGTACCATAACAGAAAAACTGGTGCGCCGTGCCGAGAAAGCGAGCTTCAAAGCCCTCGTCTTGACTATCGATGCCCCCATCTTTGGACATCGACGTGCCGATGTGCGCAACAACTTCAGCCTGCCATCGCACCTAACACTGGCCAATTTCCAGGGCGTGAAGGCCACTGGAGTGGGCAATGCCACCATGGGCGCCTCTGGCATCAATGAGTACGTTTCCAGCCAATTTGATCCCACCATCACTTGGAAAGACATCTCTTGGCTTAAGAGTATCACCCATTTGCCTATTGTGGTGAAGGGAGTTCTCACTGCCGAGGATGCTGTGTTGGCCAGGGAGTTTGGATGCGCTGGACTTATCGTTTCCAATCACGGAGCTCGTCAGATTGATACAGTTCCTGCCTCGATTGAGGCTTTGCCGGAGATTGTTAAAGCCGTTGGTGAAGATCTAGTGGTTATGCTTGACGGAGGCATTATGCAGGGCAATGATATTTTCAAGGCTCTGGCTCTTGGAGCAAAGACTGTATTTGTGGGTCGTCCGGCTGTTTGGGGACTAGCCTATAACGGCCAGAAGGGTGTGGAAGAGATGCTAAGTGTGCTGAAAAAAGATTTTGAGATCACCATGGCCCTGATCGGATGCCAAAGCCTAAAGGACATCACATCATCGATGGTGGTCCATGAGAAGCAATACTCCAAGCTATAAGCCCGGAACCCTTTAGGATATATTAAACATTTTAATCTTTCTATAAGCCTATTAAAAACGTCAATAAAGATAAACTAAAAAAAGGTTTGAGTACTTAAATTATGAATTTATCACATCCTAACATATGTACATATGTACTCGTATATATAAATTAAAGATGTAAATACATTAGTTAAGTGAAAAAATAATAAAATCCACGATTAAATATTTTTACCAGTGTAACTACATACGATTTTTAAATAAAAAAAAAAAAAAATATCAATATAAAATGTAACTTTTAAATTAATGATAATAGAAAACCGTAAATTTTCATCCGATAACAATGCTCACCTTACCGATTAATGCGCTTCGTTTTTACTATCGCTAGACTCTCATCGCTACTGAGCATGTATGCGTAAAAATAAAAAGTATTAAAACGGAAAGTAAATTAAAAAACAATGTTAGATGGCTGGTACTGTAGGTCCTTGGCCAACCAGGAGGAGGGAGCCATTAAGGATGAGCCGCCTAGCGACGATGAGCCTCAACAGCCTGCCAGAGATCGTGTTCCGGCAATTTCCCGCGGAGCAGCACCAGCTAGATCCTCCACAGCCTCCGCGGGATTGGGACCCACCGACAAGGACTTCAAGGAGCGCTACAAGAACCTCAAGAAAAAGCTAAAATTTCTTATATACGTAAATATCTAAAGTTGAACTTCGTCAATGGCAAGTCACAGCTTTTTGTGTTTACAGGAGAACGAGTACTTCCAAGATCTTTTGCACAGCAATCAGCGCCGTTTGCTAAAGGTTTCTAGGGATCGCACCTTCCTACTGGATCGCCTTCTGCTCTACGAGAAACCAGCAAAGGACTCCAGTGACAGCGATGCCACCGACAGCTCCGATTCGGAACCGGCATCGACATCAGGAGCTGCCGGAGGATCGCAGACATCCAAAGATGCCATGCGAAAGAAGCACAAAGACAAGAGTACGCCCGGAACTCCTGGTGTACCCCCGCATGTGCCCACTGTGGGTGCAACAAGAGGACGAAGGCGAAAAATCCTTACTGGAATGATGCCCACAAACCATGGAATCCAGTCGGCTACTCCAAAAAGACAACTTACCGCCACAATTTCACCCTCACAGCAGCAGCAGCAACAACTGCAACTACAGACTGTTCCGAAGGATGTTTCGCCAGGCCTGAGCCAAGCGGAAATCGCCCGACAACTGCAGGAGCGACGACCTACACCGCTGGAGCTCATTAGTCCGGAGGCCACTGTACCTACTACGATGCTCAGCGATGAAAGCCCCTCTAAATGGTAACTAATTCTTCATTTAATATGTTGTAATACTAATGGTTTAATTAAGTTTTTCTAGCTATCCAAACGAAAGCCTGCAGCATCTAATGGAGGACGACTCGCATTCGCACGAGGTGGCCGCCGAGGAGTGTGTCCCAATGGAGTACACCAGTTAATATTTACACAAAGCTATATATATTACTATATATATTACTTTGCCTTAGCTATAATAAAATTTATTGAACAAACCTATTTATGGAATATATTTATTGTAAAATATATTATTGACAGACGAGGATCAATTTTTTTTAGGTACTTAATTATTATTTTTTGAGTATACACAGAAATGCAACATTTTAAGACCTGATTTCGTCATTACATTAACCTGTTTGACAGAGAAAATTGGAACTTGTAGTTTTAATGCCCTATCTATAATAAGCATAAATTAAGAAATCGGGTAAGTAACTAAAAGGTTCTCTGCTAACCACTAATCAATTTCATTTAACTGCTAATTACAATATTAAGTATCCGCCGATAACAATCTAAGGCGCGAAATGTTATCGATAGGTGCTACAGAGTGGGCAGACCTTAAGCTGAACTGCCAACCCTGTCAGGCAAAACCCCAATGCGAAACAACCCTGGATTTGCCATTTATTTCGACGCGACGCGAGTGAAGAAAAACAATCAAATTTGTTTGGTATACCGTGCAAAATCAGGCCCAATAAACAGTGAGTTACATTAAAAGGACTAACGACGAACCGGGTGCCACCAAATGAGCAATCCGTGAACAATGGCTTTGCACAAGCGGAAAAATTCGCACTCGGATCCCATTTCGGGCGCTGAGGTAGACTACAAGTTTTCATGCCGTTGTTGTTTGAAGACCAATGTGGAGTACCTTAAACTAGACTCGACGACAGTGGCGCGCAGTCTGGATCCGGCGGACACATCGGAAAAGATTCCGCTACTTCGCTGCCTGCTCTTCTGCATGAGCGCTGAGAATGTGCCGGAGCTCCCACAACACATATGTATCGAGTGCAGCAAGAGTCTGCAAGTAGCCTACTACTTTCTTAAGAATGCATTGCGTGCTCACGAGATTCTGTGCCGGAAACTGTGTCCCAAAGCATCAAAGAGGCCAAACGGGGCTATGGCCCTGCAGCCGGAAAAAAAATTAGAGAAGTCATTTTTTAACGAGGTATGTTTGCTGCAAAGGTCACATATCCAGTTTAAATTAAATCTTTTTTCTCATAATTTCAGTTGGATTCGGAGAGAACAAAGTCTTTGAAAACGATGCGTCATGAGTGCCAAGTCTGCGGAGTGGTGGTCTACAATCGTCTTGAGCTCAAACAACATATTCGCCAGCATGCAGGTACAGATTACCAGAAAACCTAATAATGTTTCAACTAATTACGAGCCTCATGTTGTTCCAGAGGGCATTTCGTACAACTGTAAGTTGTGCAACTTCACCACACTAAAACAGCGTGTACTGGTAAATCACTATGAGGCAAACCACGGCATGTCCACTAGCCAGGCGGAGGATCACATTAAATCGAAGAATTTACCAGTGCAAAGGGAGGAAGAAGTAAAGGCGGTGTGTACGCTGGAAGATATGGAGCTGCTAATACCCACTGTACTGAGGCCAGAGGACTACGCTCAGCCGCAACCGCAGATTGATCCCGACCAGTTGCGCGACATTGAGCACCAGCTGGCCGTTAGCATGGGCGAAACGGTACCTGGAGTAGACTCCCTTACATCCACATTACCACCCATGGACACACCCAATGTGAGCATCGGTACCGAGTATCTTGTTCTTCCCGATGGGTCGCTGCAGCAGGTCAACGGCAGCGGTGGGTTAAATAAGTTAGGAATACGTAAATATGAAATTAAACTCATTTTGATCCTATTCAGGCGTGGTCATAGAATATATCGACGATAGCAAGAACAATACCCCCAATATAAGCCTACAAAATCTCCTGGCTAGCGATGACCAAGGCGAACAGATGGATATTGATGTCAACAACTTTATCGTAGAGGAGGTGCCTCAGATCAGAGGTAAAAACTATTTAGAAGACTTGTAAGACGACTCTATAATTTCTTATACGTTTTCAGCTAAGACAAGGGCTGTAGCTAGCGGATCACCCATTTACAAGCATAAGTGTAAAATGTGTCCAAAAACATTTTCCAACGTTTCGCGCCTAAAATCTCACCAGTTGACCCACAGCAGTGAGTTTTTTACACATGTTTATTTTATATACACTTCGATTAATTTCCTAACCTTTTTCAATAGATCTGCCCAAGTTTCACTGCGACCAGTGCTCTTTTTATTCACTACGCAGCTCCGATCTCATACAGCACTACAAATTGGCCCACCATAGATCTGATGAGAACGGAAAAATCGGAGATAGGGACTCGGCGGATAATTCACGAGTCTACTCATGCGACATGTGTCTCTATGAGACGCGCAACGTCAATCAGTTGCGAGCGCACTACAAGATTCGGCACGCGGTTCATCCCACAGAGGTGCAGTTGCGTCCCAGTTGGACATCTGAGTTGGAAAGCACTGTCGAAGCGGTAACAGCTGGAGTTACTTCCAAGGAGCTGCCTTCGTCCACTAAATCAGATCATACCAACATCCCAGTGGGCATCAAATGTGAGTCATGAGATCGTATTAAAAAATGTATTCGTACTGGAGTCATCTTTTGGCAGTATTTCGGAGAGTTACGAAATAATTCGCAAGAGAATGTTTCGATTATACTATTAATTTGTTGACTATTTTATATTCGTCGATCAGTTATTTCAACATATTTTATGTTGTATTATAACTCAACCTTTTTTTGTTGAGAGTCACCTGTTGTTTTAATTTTGATCCATTTTGGTTTCCTTTGGTTTATTTTCTGACCACCACCCATCTTCAAAGAAGTAAGACTTAATGTATGACATTCAAACTAGAAAATAGAGAACATTGCAATCAAATTTTAAATTATTTAAAATGTATTGTACACACCAAGCTTTCAAAATATTTCAATGTATCACGTATTTTAAGGCAATGCCAATATATTTGATAGTAAATAGAAGCTTAAATCGTAAGTGCATTTAGTCTTTTGAGATTCGTAAGCGGGTAGGCTTGGGGACACTTTTTTGCCAAAGCTTTGATGACACCCTTAAACCGTCCTAAAAAAGGTTGGGGCTTTAATTCTGCAACTGCTACAAATTAAGGTACTGGGACATTCGGTAAGGACTTAACAGGAACAATTCATTTTCCGCTTGTAGATTCATTTCATTCAATATTCATTAAATTGCATGATTTTGCTCTGTTTCTGTAGCTCAAAAAATAGAACAATTTAAATCGAAAAGTTTTTAAGTTAATTATTTTTCGTTGAACTTTTGCCAAATATAATTTCGTACTTGCATGTTTGTGATGTTTTGTCTTTCAGATCCGCCAGTTGTTGTGGAAACAAAGGTTCCAGTGCAACAGGAAACTCCGATGGCCACCACATCAACGACCATTACCGAAACGGGTGACATTAACGTAGTGGTGGATGCAACACCGCTCTTTTATGCAGCAACCTCCACGGCAGTAACGGACCCGGTTCCAGTGACAACGATGCCGGAATCTACTGTAGAACCAATAAAGAATGATTTTGATATCTTTCCCGAAATCACAGAAGGCACTTTGCCAGTAAATGAAGCCGTACAGGAAGTTCCAGTCAATACCTCAAACATATCGATCTTTGGCGACATGCAGGACTTTATTGACAACACTGATGTGGCTGCCATATGCACGATTCCCGCCGATGATATGCCTGTTGTAGATGGTGATGACATAGTGATTGATAATAATAATATCAGTTTGGACTTTGATGCCGAGAATTTATTTGAGGAGTTTGAAGAGGAAGAAGATGCGGTGGGAGAAGAGGAGGAGGAATTAGAAGACGCCGAAAATGATGATGAGAATGATAACAATGATGCTGCCGCAGATCAGAATCTGCTGCTAACCAGCGACGATGATGATGTCGACGATTTTGATGATGAGCAATCAAAGCATCTGCAAAAGCCATACTGCATTTACTGCAACAAGAAATTTACCAGCCAGTATAAATTCGAAAACCACATGTTTGTCCATCGGGGTGAGTTAATTTAAGTCACATTTCTATTGTAACATAATACCCATACATATATCGTTTTTGGACTTTAGGTTTGGCCCCATATCGCTGTGAGCTGTGTACCAATCTGTATAACATGAAGCGCTTGCTGATCAGGCACTATAAAACTGTGCACAAGCGAATGCCCACAAGGGACATGGTCCAGGCCAAGGGCGATAAGGTTTCCGTAGCCCGCACCAACATCGAGAAAATCTATTTTGACAAGAAGAGTAAGCTAGAAAGAAACCATATTAATGTTGATTTTCAGCAATTTCTATCTCTCGTTTAGATCCAATGTTAATGTGTGCCAAATGTCCGTATGAGTGCGAATCAGAAGAGGATATGCGGAAGCATTTGAATGCTCATCACGGCATAAACGATGGAGGTGTGTAGTTTAGATTTCTTACTTGAACGTTGCAATTTCAATAAGCTGGATATACTATCAATAAGTGTATTTTTTATTTTACCATCTTTATTATGAATTATTTTTAACATTTTTTATGATCTTTTTCTTTCAGTGTCTGCTCAAGCCAACGAGGTGTTTATCATACGCAGTAAGTACCCTTTTCAGTCATGTACTCATTTCTAAACCCATTTAGTACTGGGATCAACTATAATAAAACTTTCGCATTCTATCCCCAGAACTACCATTCGAATGTCCGCGCTGCATTAGATCGTTTGCAGCTAAGACAATTCTCAGCCGCCATCTGCAGCGCAGTCACTTGGTGGATACGATAATAGAGATGCAAATGCCGGAAACGGCGGAAACCAGCAAAGTTATCATGACCATGCCAACATCCTCGACACCGAGTTCCGGGCCAGTGAACCCGGTTCTAGAGGATAACAATCAAATTGAGGTGATGCAGACGGATGGTGAGGCTGAGAAGATGACAACGGATGCTTCAGGCAATGGCGATGGCAATGGTAAGAGCCTAAATAGCCCTGCACGAATGAACTCACAATCCCATTCCAACTATGCCCAAAACATGCCATCGCAATATACGATTGATAAACTAAAAACGCTGTTCTTTAACGATGAACAATGATCGTTGATTGTCGTTGTACTCACCAGAAATAACAGGCAAGGATGATGGATCAGGAGATAAATTGGAAGCGATGGTGCCAGAAGAAGAACTTGATCCAGTGACACTAGACGCAGCCACAGCGGTGACCACAACAGCAATAGCAGCAGCAATAACAGCGGCAGCAGCAGAGACACCATCTACATCGTTCCAATCACCCATCAGAACCACAACTTCAACTACCCCATTTACGACACCTACACAGTTTGATTTCGATTATGACTTTATGGGAGACGCAACCCAACGAATAACACCAAATTCCAATCCTATTCCCAAATCCACCAGCATAGAATCTCCAACTAACATGGTTAACGGTAGCGACAAACTTTTAACCTCCAACTTTCTGGCTACATCGCCAGCAAAGGGATTGCGCTCCCATACCCGCCTTCCGCGCCTGTCTACTTACATGTGCAAGCTGTGTAACAAGACCTTTGACGAGCTAGGCAAACTGGTCAAACACGAGATTGAGATGCACTCCAATACGGAGCCATCACGATGGGGCTTCCAGCACAAGTGTGCCATCTGCAATACGACGTACCGCACGCTAACACTTCTTAAGTTCCACATGAAGCGGCACAGCAAGGGAAAATTGCAGTGTAAGCTTTGCCCAAAAAGCTTTGCAACTAACTTGGAGTTGGAGCGACACATGAAGGGCAAGCATAACAAAGAGAAGTCTTTACGATGCTTATTGGATGGATGCCGGAAGACATTCGCCCTTAAGCACCATTTAATCCGTCATCAGAAGGCAATGCATCTCAACACGCGATATATATGCCCAATTTGCAACAAGGAGGTGCAATCAAATTTGCATATGAGAAATCACATGAGCCTACACAAGGGCGGTATGACTTACAAGTGTCCTAAGTGCGATCGCTCCTATTTGCGGCAAGGCCGGTGAGTGTTTTGTTTTTATAATTTTTGGTACATCTAATTAAAACATATTTATCATATTTAGACTCACAAGCCATGTTCTCAGGATTCATAAAATCCGTCTGACAAGCGAAGAGATTGAAAAAATTTCATCGCAGGGTGTTGAATATCCGCCGAACGATCTAAAGGCATTTAAGTTAATGGGGACACGTAAGGATATGGATGACCAAACTGAAATTAAGGAGGAGCACACAGGTGCAGCCGATAATTCCAATTAGTTTTAACTCATGCTCTTACCAATCAAGCAAAGTAATCGCACAATGTACAAAGTTTGATATAGTCTAAGTTCCTCTCCATCGTTTTAACACATCTAATGTCTTGAAGTTTCCTCTTAAGTTGTAGAATAAGCCCATTGAATTTTATCTCCCTTATAACATTAGCCGAAATACAGACAACTCATTTATCGGCAGATTTGTATAGCATATTGCGATTCAGTTAAAATTTTAATGTATTATGTTGGTATGCCTAAATGGCAATATGTAACTTATAGAACCGCCTTAAGTATAATAACCTTCAACATGTCTCAAGGTGTCAGAGACTCATCAGTTTGACCCTCATCCATGATTGAGGTAATCTTTACGAGCTGGCTCTGCTTTGGCCAAAGAGAAAAGCAACACAACTAGTGTTTAAAATCATTCATTATTATATATATATATATTTTTTTTTATGCAAAAGAACTCACTTATGGGTAACGTATTTTATATATATTTGCGAGCAATAAATGTCCTTAATAGATTAAAAACAAATGGAATATTGTGTACTTGAGTTCAATGAGAAAGAAACGGTAGTAATATTTATACAATTAAGCAATGTTATCTAAATATTAAACATATATTCAAATACATCTAACACTAAATTTGACAAATTCACTTAGTAGTAAATTCAATCTGATCTTCTAAGTCAAGGAACTTCTTTTTTAAAATTACTGCACTTCCATCTCCACTGATTCTCCAAGCTGACCAACTGCTGGTAGGACACATAGTCATTCCTAGCAAATTCCTTCAGTCGGCCAAGCTGCACCATAGCTTCGTCGATGGAACGGATAGGTCCTATCAAATTCACTGGAGATGGCTCTCCTTCTTCGTCATCTTCTCTATTCGTGATGGGTTCGCTCTTGACGAGAATGGCTTCGAACTCTTGTATATCTAGGCTATCACCGGTAGCATTATAGGCGATGTTGTGACGCTTCCGCCATTTCTCCAGCCATCCAGGGGAGGCGGAAAACTTAGTATAGCCCTCTTCGTCTGCTTTTTCCTTCGCCTTTTCCCGGACCATTTCACCTGAAATGGGTATATTTTCGCTTCTGGCTCGAGAAAACCATTGAAAGCACAGCTCGTCTATATTAGCCCCCTGCACAGAAAGAGAATTCTTTCGCATCTGGCTCATTTTCAGATCTCCGCTCAACAATCCATTTCTGATCGCCTGCTTGTGTCTTAAAATTTCAGCTGCTTGCGTTTTGCCAATATTGAATCTGGAGATGAGTGCTCTATGTTATTATTATTATTTATTAATATGTACCAAAGCGATTACCTTTTCGCCAAATCCCGAACCGTTAGTTTGTTTTGTTCCTGAGTCCGTATTACATTTAATTTCTCCTGCAATGTTAGCAATGTTCTAGGTTTCCTGGTGCGTCGTGGTGGCATTTTTATCGATGAACAGGGACAATAGTTAAAATTAAGCTATTTTATTGCTTAAAATTACTAAAACTATGCAGAATAAAAACATTTTCTTGTCCGCTTAAGGGAGTGTCCGTCCGTCAATATACATTCTGTGCAGTGGGACCATGGCGGATGTAAACTAATTATAGAAGTCAGTGGCGTCAACAGGTTTTTATTTTGGGGGATCTTTATTAGAGCAAATTAACAAAATTTTCAAAATTCTTTTAAAAAATGTTAAAAGAACTTTGGGTATTTCAGACCGTTTTTGTTGTTATTTTATTCAAGTTGTTTACAACCAAAAATCTCCTTTATGTACGTCTATGTAACTGCAGATACACAACAAAAACAAAAACCAGCCGGCGTGAGAATTTTTGGCAACCCACGACACGGTCATACTGGTTTTGATCACAAAAGAGCGGTATAAAATATATTACACATTGTTTGCCGAACATACTTTTAAAACACCTACAATCAACGGAAATTTCGGTGAAGAAGAGCATCCCAAGCAAGCGGAGCGCCATGGACGCCACATCCTTAGCGGATCCCGCTCTGGTGGCCATGAACAAGCTAAACAAGGTTTCGAAATGCCGAGCATGTCTGTCGGTGGACCGAAAAACTGTGCAGCTGAGCGCCGAGATCCCCAATCTTAAGAAAGCGCGCACCTACGCGCAGAGCCTGAAGCTGTGCACCAACATGGACTTGCGAGTCATCAGTCCCGGTGGATATCTTTGGCCCATGCAAATATGCGTCCGGTGCTGTCGTGCTTTGGAGGTGGCCATGCATTTCGTAGAGATGGCTTTGGAATCGAATCTCAAGCTTTATGCGGAGGCCAAGAGTGTGAAGCTGCCCAGTCCAACAGGAGAACTTAAACGAAAGGCCAGCAGCGAGTCGCTTCACTGGAATCAGTTCAGCCAGGAGTTCGAGCAGTTCGTCGAGGGATACGAGGGTGCGACGACTGGTCCCATCGAAGAGAATGTCCTCTACATGCGAGGAGCCAAGGTTCCGCGACTGGATGCCGACGCTTCGAGCAGCAAAAAAGCGCCCAAAGAAGATGAAGGTACACTTACCCCCATTTAACCTTAGCTTACAATCTAATTCCCAAAAAGTTATACTTTTCGATGTGAAATACGACACCAACGATCTGGAGGAGGAGGACGAGAACGATGGTTCGGATGCCAAGAACAATGAGACCTTTTTCGAGAGCAGTATTACATCTGGAGACACGGCCATTGTCACCTCAGTAGAGGTCAATAATGGAGAGAATAATAACAATTATAATTTTAATAACAAGAACGGCGATATGTCGGATGCGGAGTGCGATCTTATACAACGCGCTCTGGATATGACATTAAACGACGATGGCAGCAGCCAGAGTCCAAAGAAGTCCAACAATGAAAAGCAACTAAAATGTAAGCTAATAATGAATGTATCTAAGTTATTGTAATAAATTTTTTTTCTTACAGCCAATGGGGTAGAGGACCCCTTTTCACTTTTACACCAAGAGGCCTCCACCAGCGGTACAATGGCCAACATACCTATTCTTAAATGCAATATTTGTCAATATACGCATACCGATGCGGAGCAACTAAGAATTCATTACAAAAGTATTCACAAAATATCGATGGCTGAAGATGATATAATTGGCTTGAACAAAAGTAAGTTTCCTATCTAACTTTATTCCTTTTGCTCGTTCTAATATTGCTATTACAGATCAAAACTTCAAATGCCGACCTTGCAATAGTTATGAGACGAAAGACAGAAATGAAATGCAGAAGCATCTTATCAATCACCATAAAATAGATGGTGACTTTGGTAGGCTTAAAAAAACAGTTTAGCCTATCCCTTACTTATATTGTTTATCCACCAGAAATGTACTGCTATATGCAGGCAAACTGTCCTGCTTGTGACAGAATTTTTAAGGATCAGCGTTCGGCCAGAAAACATTACACCAGAGTACACACACCAGTGCAGGTTGTGGTGTCAGCGGTGGAGACTTTTGCATGCAAGATGTGTGACAAGGTGTTTAACCAGAAGGCCAGCTTGCATAGCCACCAGCGTTTCTGTCAGGTAAAAGAAGTCGTGCACTGCAGCTTTTGCGATCAAGAATTCAACAGCATGCGCAAGTACGAGCTCCATCTACAGCAATTGCATGCCGTGGAAACGCTACACGAGTGTGAGATCTGTCGCAAGAGCTTTAAGAGCGCTGACACCCTGACCATGCATCGTAAACGTCACTCGGAGCGCCATTTTCAATGTGACAAGTGCTCCCTGAATTATGTTAACTCCGCGGAGTTACGGGTGCACTACGAAAGGGCCCACATAACCGAGGAGCAGGTCACCTGCCTCACCTGTGGTAGCCAATTTCAAAACATGGCTCTGATGCGAGAACACGAGCAGAGAAGTCATCAGAAAACAAAGCTTTGGCGCTGTGATGTCTGCAACTTTGAGACAAAGACCAGGTGGCGAAGGCGCCAGCATCAGTACGAGCACATAGGGTACCCGTACAAGTGTCAGAACTGCACTACCGAATTTTCAGATCGCAGCAAGTTCGTAGCTAAGTTTGTGTATTAAAAGACTGTGAATTTATCATAATCGATATTACAGATTCCGTCAACATTCCAAAAAGGTACATGGCATCGAGTTGAGCGACGAGCAACTTGCTGAGATGTTCCGTGAAAAGAAAGGCTACACCAATCGGCACGACGCGTTCAACAAGTCAAACAATTCACTGGAGATTCCCGACTTCACGGAGGACTGCTTTACCGAACTCAAAAGCCTGGGTGTTGATTATGACGACATAACCACAGATCTCTTCTCCAGTTCAACGGCCCTGGACAACCTACTGAACCTGATACCCTAAAAACTTATCGCCGATTCATTTACCTGAATAGAATTTACAAATCAAACGGCACGAATAATAGCTGACGAGAGCTAGAAGACTGTCTGCACTTTACAATTCAATCTAACCGACAAAGCATTTTACACAGCCCCTCTCCTTTTAGTTTGATAAACTTTTTTGTTTTGAGAATTCAGACCACAACGTACATTTTACATGTATCTACAGTGAAACCATGATATTTTTGAAGTCACAATCTCAATAAACAGGAAGGAAACACGCGTTTCTGAAGCGCACAGAATTTCTTGGAGTTCGTTTTTACACTCTGATGGAGTTTGTATTTAAACTATTTCAATTTCAATAACTAATTAACGCCCTGGATGAATTTTGAGAGGAAGTCGGTGGGTTTTGGATCCTGGGACTCCTTCCAGTAGCGCATGATGTGACCCTTCTGCTTCCAGATCTCTACGGATTCTTTGAGCTCCATTTGACCCTAGATCATGATAGTATTAGTTTACGAAAATAAATGTTTTGGACGGTTTTACCTTGATGACCAGCATGTCAATAACTCGAATGTCGGTCACATTACGATGCTTGACGAACTCCTCGCGTAACTTGTCCCGGCACTGTTCAACGGTCATCGGGATGTCGTAGTCCATGACTATAAGGATAAAGATTGTGTTAAATGGCTTCGGGATCCGGAGGCTAACCCTGATGACATAACCAGGAGTACTCACCGATATAGGGAATCTGACGGTACCAGGCCTTGTACAGATTGAGGGCCCGTTTACGGGCTTCTTCCCGGTCGACGGACAGGATAGGACGCACCTGCTGCACGGCTCGCTTCACGGCTTCACGTCCGGCCATTTGATTTGTTTTTATTTCTTCTGTTTTTCAACGACCGAATTGCTCGCAGCACAACAGTGTGACCAGAGTTATATATATTCAAATAGGCTGGGGTAAAACACAAAAACAAAAATTAAAAATTTTCATATGTTCAATTAAAATTATTGTTTTATTCAGGTTTTCGAATATAAAAATTTTATATATATTTTGAGTTATAATTTAATTTAATTTTCTTATTTTTCCCCTTATATATATTTATAAGTTCAACAATATGGCAACACCTGTGACCAGTAGTTGGCAACGCGATTTCGCCTAAGTCAGCAGTCCGGTAAAGCCTCCACTTGGCCAAAGATTGATTCCATTCCTAAGAACATTTAAAACGCAAATGAAATGGCTAGCGATTTTCCACCATTGGCCATTCGGATCTGGATGCACAAGCTGAAGAAGGGTGCTGCTCAACCTGCGTTAGTACTTCAGCGCTCCCTGCTGAATTTCATGAGTCCAGGTGAAAATGCGAATGGAATATCCAATCCAAAAACAAAAAACAAAAGTTTTACAACTTTGTTCTGTTTTTCAGAAGCAGCAAATATCTCAGTGGCAAATGCCACCGAGAGGGGAATTCTGAAGCCCAAAGCAGCCGGGGGAAGAGCGAAGCGTCTGACCTTTACCTTTTGCCAGAAAGTTAGCAGCCTTCCCAATTCCACAAGTGATCTCTATTGCTTCGAGTGTCATTTACCCGGTGTTGTCAAAAAATGCGCATCATGTCAACGCTCCTTTCATGAGGATTGCCAGCGCAAGGACCCCGAAAAGCCTAACTATTCCGTACCCTCAGATAAGGGTCAACCTCACCGGTTCCCTATAAGCGAATCGGATGAGCCAAAAAGCAATACCGAGAACCTAAAGGATCGCCAAACGCTCACGCCAATGCCCCTTCTGGATCACAATAGTAATATCAATAAGGATTCATTAGCCACTCCAGAACTTCTTAAGCACGAGTCCCTCGAGTGGGACGACGATGTCTTCTTCGTTAGCGAACATAAAGGCGCCCGTCAGCGAAAGCAGGCCAGGATTAAGAACGAACATCACACCAGCTTAGACAGTGATGAGGGTAGCGACCTAGAGCGGTGCACACACTGTCGTCTGCTCACATTGGCTGCTCTTCATAATCCGCCACAGCTGGACAAACAAGAGCTGAGTCGCCTCTTAAGGTATTCCTGGGACAAGCATTACTCCTGGATCTCAATCGATGTGACCATGTACATGGCCAAGCATTGGAACGATCGCGACAAATCGCTGGTCAAGCGCATCCTCTTCAAGACGAAGATCTTAGGCCTAAACGACATCGAGCGAAACATCGAGGCGGAAAAGTACACCTACTTAACCGAGTTTCTGATGGATCTACTGGACCTGCAACACAATATAGCCGTGTTTTTTGGTACCAAGAGCGTCGAGTACAATGCCACCAAATGGCTGATTAGAGATATTTCACACGATATCCGGGAAATTCGTCGTTGTCCGGATTGCTATAGGTATTCAAACGAGGCCAGTCACTCGGATCTCTGGTTCGCCAAGCCCTGTCTTCAGCGGCACGAATTAGTGTTTGCGAAGCAGACAGGATTCCCTCCTTGGCCTGCGAAGGTTGGTATTTCATTTAGTCAAGTTTTCATATGGATTTTTCAGCAGCTTAAAAATATTTATATTCCTTTTCAACAGGTTATGAGTGTGTCTAAACGGCAGCCTATCAAGTATGATGTCCGCTTTTTCGGTGGTACTCATTCCCGGGCCCTTATTTCTGAACGTGATATTACTCCGATAGAGTCGGACCTTCAGTCGCATATCAAACCCCGGAACTCTCGAGCTCTTAACGCCGCCTTGCGGGAACTGGAGTGCCACATGATGTTGTCCCATTATTCTGCTTCGCTGTTTGGTTTCCATGCAGATCCCACCATTGCCGAGAATCTCATCAAGGTAGCTCTATCCCACTGCATGGAAACCAAAGAACCTCCTACGCATGGTAAGCGGGGACGACCTTCGACTCCGGCCACTCCTAGCGCTGCAAAGAGGCGAAGACTTAATGTCACCGCTCCTAATACCCCATCTCCAGTACCCATACGTGGGATTTCTGACTCCGTTACCTATGATAATCTAACCGCCGAAATAGTAAAGGCAAATGAGGAACTCCTGAAGTGCCAGAGCAAGCTCACCGCCGCTGAAAAGAAGCTCACTCAAGTTAAAAGAAAGCAATGGTGCTACCATTGCCTGGAAGAAGCTCTTTTTCCATGCTGCTTCACTGCATCCTACTGCAGTGCCGAATGCCAGCGACGCGATAAAAAGCGTCACCAGGCTACTTGCAGAGTCAATCACTAATAGAAGACTAAAGTTGAAAGTTGAAATGAAAGGAGAATATTTCGAGATTATGAGTGTCGATTTGTGAATATGGATTATTAACAATCCAACGTGATAAAATCTCGTTTCCTACAAAACCTTTGTATCAAATGTATCCGTTCGTAAGATATAATCAATTGTTCCAAGAATATTGTTAAACAAATAAATGTTTAAGTATATTTTATTGGAGTGAAATTGTTTACTTTTGTGGATTTCATCGTTTTGAAGAAGGCGCCATTTGTTTTCTCATGATGGGCAGCACTGCTGCCGATAGATGGCGCCTGTTAGTCGTGTGAACCATAAAGTGAGTTTATAGAAACATTATAGTAACTTTATCTGACAGCTTTTTGTTAAAAAATAATTTAATTTATTAAAATCGGCTTAGTATGAAATTTCTTTTAATAAGTTTATTTTTATATACTTTTTTTTAATATTAGGATTAGTTTTTGCTATATTTTAAAGTTAATCAAGTTAATAAACGGCCTAAAATCAGTTAAAATAAAAAACCGAAAAAACATGCTCCCATTATGGACAATTACGCTGTGGCTAACGTGTTTACCCCGCAGAACGAAGCAGTAAACAAGCTGCAAAAGTTCAGGTAAAAGGTCAAATCGAATTTGCGAAACGCTTAAAAGGGTTCAATGCAATTTACGAGTGCAGGCGAGCATGTGAATGCATCAGATATTAGGGGGAAACGATGGAGGGGTCTCTTATGGGCCTTATGAATGCAAGCCGCCGGGGAAATATCCGTTTAACGGCTATCCCAAAAATAATTGATTTATGCCGGGTTCAGCCAACGATTTTTGGGGAGCCACGGTCTCAAAATGGTAATGGCCCAAAAGAGTTGGCACCTTGCGCTCGGCAGAGTTAGAGATAGATACATGGCTGTAATAAATATTTCACTTAAGAGGCAAGCAAAGTAACATCAGCACACGATTTCAGGGTTTCTAGTTACGGATTTTGGTATTCTGCTCCCCAAAGTCGGAAGTCACGTTTAAACGTTTTGCGCTAAAAGTTTCACAGACACACACACACGGCGGATGATTGATGAGCCAAGAGAGTATTACTTACCTATATGGTCATTAGGGTGTCTGCTTGTGTTTATCTTTAGTTCGCTTTCATGCACTTTCGCCCTCGAAAATAGTAAATCATTTTTGGAATATTTCACCCTGTCTCTTAATTAAGCCAGAAGCTGAATCAATATTAAGAAACTCTACCATTTTCCTATGCCATTTAGAGCAAAAGCAAGTCATTATTGTTTGCTGTCTAAATGTTTACTTAACATTTTCGGTCTGCGGCGGCTGTGAATGTAAAACTTTTGCAATTTTGCAATCAAAATCTCTGTCACCCAACTGTCAATATTTGTGCGAAAATTTGGCAAAGAAATACACACAAATTTCCAGTGGCAATTAGGAAAATTCTCTCTCTGCTATTGCCAAAAATAAACATTACTTTTTTGTATTTTCCTCTCTGCCTGCTTGCATTTCCAATTGTATTTTAATTATGTGCAAACTTCAGGAGGGAGTTTTTCCTGAAAATTGTCTGCCGTCTATTAAAATCTCCCTAACAAGATGAAACATTTTTCATCAGCTCGTAATCAAATTAGTCGCCTGCTAATTTAAACTGCACTAATTTGTCTACGTCACGAAGGGTGCTTTTCCTTCGCTAAAAGTTAATATCTTCGTGCTTATCTACTACCTTGCAGGTTGTCAAAAGGCCCAGGACTTCAAGGAGCATTTTGTGACAGGCGGTAAGGATTTATTGGCCTAAAGTTGCCCGCCTACGATTGGTTAACAAGTGCTGGATGTTCTTAATTAACTTTTTTGCGACAGGCGAAAGGCCGTCAGAACTAAAAGCCAAAACATGGGAAATGAGAGATTTAGGAGATGTGTAATTTTAGGTACATAAAAAGTACTTCTTTAATGTTCTTAAAGAAAAATATATATTTAAAATAAAATATAGCGTATTTTAGTGTTTTTTTAAATCTTGTTAGAATATTAGGTAAGTTGGAATAGTTAATTCCTTAAGACTCCTAGTCAAGTGCCCTCTGGTGCTTTTCACATTCTACTTACTGCTGAACCAGTCTTGTATTTTCTTTAGTTTTTCCTGGCTCTTATTTCCAATCTGCTGCCGGTTTTAAGCTCCAGTGAAGCTGTTCCTTTTTTGTCTTTAGCCTTGACTTGAACTTGACTGACCATTGCCAAGGATATCCTATTCTAGCGCCACCCACTCCGCCCACTTCTCCCCAGCAACAGCTGCAGAGAATTAAATCTTGGATGCAGGGATCCAATAACCCAGACGAACGCCATGAAATGCAATTTCTGCCGCCAACATGTTGAAAATGCTGTTGCTTGTAAAATTTTTTGGCATGCGACAAATACTTGCCACAATAAGGGGAGCCAACACTTTAATTTATGGCCAACGACAAGTGCAACTGCACGCCCCAATGACAACAATGAGCAATGGGGAACGAGCAACATGCAGCATTCAACATGCAATACAGAACTGAAAACAAAAACGACCGCAGACAGCCAGATTGTTGCATTTAAGCAGCTCTGCCCCAGCGAAATGCAAGTTAATGAGTCTATTATGGAGACGTAATGATATCCATTGAGAATTTAGATGAAAGGCCAGCAATTTGTGACGGTTTGTGATTGAAATATGGCACTAAATCCTAATGGAATTTAATCACAAAACTGTCAGGGAATTATGCTGATTTTATATCTCCTTTTTCCCAATATGCGTCATTTTGGGAGTTGGGGTTCTTACATAACCGTAACGAACTTCCCAAATGACTCGCAATCTGGGTGAGTGCCCAATATATTGCCCCACCCATAGTGTCCAAACTTCTGATCCGCCATCAGTGAGTCAGCTTTTGCGACCCTGTCAAGTCATTTTCATTTATTGTTTAAGCCAATTTCGTGGAAACCAACACTCAAGTGTCAATGGCCAAAAGTTTTGTGGCTCAAGAAGGGTCATAAAGCGGCGTTAATATGGGCCAAAACTATTAAGGATTAAGGATTTTAGAAGTGAGTAAATTTGTTACTTACTTACATTTTATAGTTTGTTTAACACTATAAAGTCTAAAATAATAATTAAACTTTTGTATTTGTTATTCTCTTAAAGATGTAACTTAATGAGTAGATTTATTGCCCCATTTTAGGAAAACTAATGAAAATAAATTACCTAAATTGCTCATAACTCAGAAGAGCAGAAGTCGCTTTGGATGTCAACATTTTTAAGTCGTTAATTTGTCAAAAAGCTGCTCTCATAAATGATTTAATTTTTCCTTTTATTAACATGCTAATAAGAGTTGACTTATCTTTTCCCTGTCAAAGAAAGCACAAAAACTAAAATGCCAAAGCGATTTCCATTTCCTGCTTTTTTCCCCCGCTCAACTTCAACTGCAACTTCAGCTTTCGAATTTCTTTTAAAACCAATTATCAAATCATGTCGCTGCCGGCTGACAAACTCATTTATTTTGCTCGCTGCACTCAAAACTGAGACAAACCCACATACATCATACTTGCACTTGGTCGGGATCTGGATGTGAACGTGGACATGGTTGTGGATGCGGATTTGTATATGGCATATGGGAAAACCCCCCACTCTTTAAATGCAACCTAATTTTGCTTTCGTTTCTATATCAGCATGCCACATACATATGTACATCCGTCGACAGAAAATGTGTTTGTTTTCCTTGAGAAAAGTTGGACTGCCCTTTCCACAGATCCCCCCCAAAACTTATAGACCTTAGACCGCAATACCAAGACCAAGACCACGACCAAGACCAAGACCCAGATCCACATCAAAACATCCCAAAAAAAAGTGTCAAACTGTCGGCAGGGCCTGAAATTCTCATTACTCAGTGTCCATTGACTCGTTCACAGGTTGGAAAATTACATTTGGAAAATGTGTTCGGGGGGAGGAATGGTGTGGAGCATTTCCAACTAATTTTAATGTGTGACAATTAAATTTGTTTGATTTTTGGGTCACGAATATTCTCGTTTTGCCTATCAATTAGGTTTTGGAAATTGAGACAATTTAAGTTAATGGAAAATTGAAATAAATTAGGGTAATAAATTAATTAAATTTATATTTCAGTCTGAAATACCTTTCTTTCTTATTGCCATAAAGAAGTTTTTTAAACTTAAATTTAATTTGATATTTAACTTTATCTAAAATTTGTCTAGTTTTAACCAGAATTAACTCCATATTATTGCTTCTGACATCGGTTATAAATTCTTTGTTAACTGCCAAAGTTCTTGAAAACTTGATTTTGTAATTTTTTCTGTCAGCCACAACTTGTTTTTCTGTTTGGTTTTTTATTTTCGCGTATTCAATTGATTATTTTTCTGTAATCCCCACTATTTTTTTGTTCATATTCTCGGCAATTCGCTGGCGCTCAAAATACATCAGCATAAATCATCGGCGAATCTCTGGCAAGCGCCACAAAAAATGAAAAAAAGAAAAGCTGTGTAAAAAAAAGGAGTGGAAAACAAGAAAAACACAGCGACATATTAAATTTACAAGTTGATTTTGATTTATGCGCAATGAGCATATGGACAGACACACGAGCCGAGATTTGTTGTCTGCAGACGCTAACTTAATTTAACTTATTTGTTGTTGTTGTTGTCACCGTGTTGGTTGCTATATGTTTTTGTTGGTTTTCTTATTGCTATTCCGTCTCAATTTGCTGCCTGAGCCGCCTGTCGCCGCCAATTAAGCCGGGAAATGTTCGGGAAATCGCTTGAAAATCAAAGTGTGGAATACAGATTTAAATAAAGGTAAGAGAGCTCATTTATTATAAATATTTAAAAATCTAAGAACAATAAACAAATGTTCTATATCCAATTTAAATTTATTTTATTGGCTAACCTTTTGTATGTTTAAACACTTTTCTTGTCCAAAATGCAAGCCTTAATTTATATATTACCACACACAGACTTAATTCACTTAAGCGCCTTTTCATGTCGGCACCTAAAAGCTTTCAATGGGATGAGAATGTGGATGCTGTTGAGGATGAGGATGCTGATGAGGATGAGGATGCTGATGAGGATGAGGATGCTGATGAGGATGTGGAATGCACATTTGAATCCAATTCCGAATCCGACTCGCCGCGTTTTGTGGGCGTATAGAAGTTTCTCAGTCTGTCGCCAGCCAACTTCAAAATGGTAGAATAAATACGGAGATATAAATACCGGCAGACTCGGTAACTCGAATTAATTAAAACTGAAAATTGCAGTTTCGTTTGGCATGGAAATTGCGGCGCCTCCTCCTTCTTTTTAAAAACCTGCAATTAGCAGGGTAAAATCTCTGGGCCTGGTAATTTGATAAGTCCTCGAAACTTGACCCACTTTTTCGGGTGGAATACACGGATACGCTAATGAAGTCCATCTGAGAGGGAATTTTATTTCACTTCGTTTTCGGCCTTATTGCCTCTCCACCCCCAAAACCACAAAAAATGAAAAAAAAACCTCCACCTTCTTTTTCAGCCTGTCGTTTATTTTTACGACGCTTTCATTTAAGCGCTGGCATTTAATGTGAAATTTATCATTTCGACGCCACGCCTCCCGCCCCCTGGCCAACCGACAAATTGTCGGCCTTGGACAGATTTTTTATTGCACTCGCATTTCTCCGAGGCGTAAACTGATATTTTCCATATATATAACATTTTTTGTTCAGCTTTAAAAGTTCCTGGTTTTTGGTCGGCGGTTTTTAAATGAGAGTTCCTTTGGCACATACAGTTTTTTAGAGCCACAACTTTTAACCGCAACCTGTCTGCACATTGGTTCCTCGGGGGTGGCAATCAAAATACGGAAAAAAGAAAAGCAGGAAAATATGCATTTCAGAAAGGGGTTTTCCCATTGGCTGGCAGATAAAGTTTTCTGTCAAAGGATTTTTCAGAAATAATATTAATATAAACGAGATTAGTGTCGGAAAAAGTTTGGTTGCTTAACGTATCTTGTTGCGAATTGCATTAAATATTTTTAATTTGATTATTAAGCTTTAACTTTTTTAGATAATTTTAAAAGGTAAGTACTTAGAATAATATAAGTTGGTTTTATGTATTGTGCAAATTAAAATTTAATATAACTTCTTTATTTTGGTTACGGAAGTGACCCAGAAATCTGCCTTTTAAACGGTGTGCTAGGATTAAAAACATTAAAGAATATATATTTTTTAACTTAAAACAAATCCAATACAATATAAGAAAATATTTATTAGAAATTCTTAAATGCGCCAATTGGATTTGAATACCCAACTGTCACTAACGCCTTTGGAACAGACAGCGCTGCCAGATATTTTAAACGAGCTAACACTTAACGCCAGCCAAAATGCACTAAAGCCAAGATATTACGGTCACTCTAGAAAACAGCCACCGCGCGCAATTGTTGTAATTTTTCGGATGCGACGACATCGCTGCGCGCATGTATATAACAAAGTCGCGTGAAAAATGCTATTTACCAATAGTAAAACCGAATAAAAATATATAATTAGGTAAAATAAATTCTATTGAAAACGAAATCGAAACAAATACCGAATCATTTAATAGATAAATCAACGGAAAATGTGATTTTAAAAAACTGCAGCTGCAAGTCCCGATGCCTGGCCAAAGTTAGAGCGAGACAACGCTACCAACTCGAGTGTGTGTGTGCAATTTGTTGATAGTATTTTCTGTTGTTGTTGTAAAAATGCCTCGCTTGCAGGCGTGCAACAACAACAAAAAGAACTAAAACAAAAAAAAGCTCCGAATGCCGGCAAAACAAAAACGCGTAAACGGTAAATTCGATTGATGCGAAAAGCGTAAAATAAGAAAACCGAAAGCAATAATCGTTGAAGAATACACAACAAAAGTGGAGTGAGCAAAAAGTCGCGCGGGTATATGTGTGTGCGTCGCGTAACTACGCGTGTGTTTGTGGGTGCAAAGGATAGGAATAGAAGGCAAAAACGACGATTGGCGGAAATCGAAAGCCAAAATGTTGTAAACAAATCAACAGAAAAAACCTGAGCTATTCAAATTTACCTCCAATTGCAAACGACGGTTTCCAGTTCAATCAGCGAAAAAATCGAACACAAAATGGCCCGGAAAACAAACAAAAACAGCAGGACAATTTGGAATTGGCTAGTCGGCAGTTATCTGATATTCCAGCTGATTGGAAGCAGTTTGGCAAGTCAAGGTAAGATATACGATATTAAATTACAGTTTTATATACCTTTCTCCCAAGTATATGGTCCCAAATCATGAAAAGTCTTCTGCCAAGTAACTTTCTATCTAGGCTAACGTTTCAAAGAGTTTTATATAGGTACAAGAATTCGTTTAAGTTCGTTTCTAAATTTCTTTTAGTCTACAAATTAGTTGTATTCTCATAAAATATTTATCAAAAAAGCTCATAAAATCATAATTTATTGAACGACAATATTTTTAATTATCATAATTTTGTCAAAACGTAGTTTTATCTGTTACCAAGCGATGGAAATAGTTTATCTATAAATGTTCTTCGAAATAGATAGATTAGATGATAAACACTACAACTTTTACAACAGGAAGTCTTTATAAGTCAAACTAACTTTATGGGCAGTACACATTACAAGTGGCAAAATAAAATTACATTAATAAAACCAATCGACTTAAAGTCCGTAGTCTAAAGTCTAAAATCGAACCAGAACTGTTAAATTATCTTTAATACCAATGAATTTGAGTTTATTTTTATTTAACAATCACATTTAATGACTTTTTCGACTAAATTGCATCAAAGCTGTGCTGTAATTTTCTGTATATTGCTCAGAACGTTTAAATATAGATAATATCGTTCATACTTAGAACCATAAATTTTAATATTTGTGTGCATTTTAACAAGTAATATTGCAAATACAGTTTTTGGCGACTGGATGTCTGGTCGACGTGCCAGAAATCAGGCAATATTGCCCCAAAAACCACTCATTTCCAATGAGCTGATGTCACCTTGCTGATAAGCAAGTCATAATTCGCACCTCGCGCTTTTTTTGCACTCGTAAATTTTGACGTACTATCGAAAAAAGAACCCTTCCCCTTTTCAAAACCTCGTGTGCCAATCACTCTGGGGGTAATTCACGGTAATTGCGTCCTCATCATATCACCTGCAGATAAGAACTCGAAATAAAGAAGGTTGCGAAACGGTTATCTCAGTCGATAGCGGGCCTCGAATTTCGAACATTACTAATGAGCTTCGCTTGAAACGAGATATACTGCTCTAATACACTGCACAACAAGAATTTGAAACTGGCATTTTCACAACATTTCATAAGCCAAAACTAACAACTTTTCCTGTGAAGAATACAAAAACACAAACATATCGAAATCGTAGAAATAAGGTCAAACAAAATGGTAGCCGTAAGAGTCATTATCATTAGCTCAGGCCCAGGGATCACTTGTATGTTCAAAGATCAGGTAAAAACAGGTAGAAAACAGTACAGACAGAAATGCAATTAGGATTTGGGATCAGCCAGAGTTTTCAGGTTACTATTTAGGGTCTCTAAAAGTAGATTAGAAAAGATCGGTAGGGCAGCTGCACAATAACTGATTGATTTTGGATTCAAACTAAAGCCTGGGTTGTTTTAAGGGCTTATCATATTTCAATTTTCGGTTCGACAGAATAAACAAATGCCGGAAATGAGGGAGGGATAATGGAAATCCCCGCAAAAAGCGCAAATAATGCAAACAAATTAAAGGTCCCGCTCGTTTTTCTCCCTTCAAATCGAAGAAAAGTCACCCTTAAAAAAAGTGAAAATTGTCCTGGCTGACAAAAGGGGAGTCGCCTTATCAGCTGGGAAATTTATCAATGCCAAAGCTCCAAAAAAGGAAGGAAGGACCCCAGTCTGGTAGTAAAAAATTGTCAAGCATGTCATATGCAAATGGAATGAAAAATCTTTGAACAAATTTTTAGGTCATGGCATGTCATAAGTCTCAGGACTTTATGCCAGATTTAATTAAAAGCATTCCCTCACATAACCTCAAGCTTTATGCGGTGGGGCGGTAATTAAAAAAACTTTACTTACATGGGTGTAACCAGCTGACATAAAAAAAGCGGTGACAACAATGGATTTAAATGGGTTCTCGACGGCTAAATACCTTTTAGGAGCTCTTTAATTAAGGTTAAGGGATAACTATTAAGAGGCTTGTGAAAGTTATTGTTGTTAAAGAGAAAGGATGTTAAAGTTTATTAGTTAACATTTCCATTAGTCTTCCAACTATAATAACAAATGCAAGGCTCATAAAACAGTATTTAATTAGTAAGTAAATGAGATAAGAGCTGTTAAGATATGCGTCTTCAGAAAGGACAAAGCTAATACAGCCAAGTTAAATATAACATAATTGAGCACTCAAAGACCACTTCAAAGAATGTTCCTTACTTAGTTTATTAGCTAATATACCCAAGTATCCTTAACAATACCCTGTACACTAAACTCACGTGCGAGGTCCTGGTTCTCGTTTTCGTGTTTATTTCCTAGGGTTCTTTGTTTTCACTTTTCTGGTCATATATTTCCTTACTTTTAGCCTGGGAACTATGGCAATTGTTTAGTGTCCTGGGCGAGTCGCTTTTCGTCGTGACCAGGACAGCATATTTAGCCGCATTACGTGATACAATATATGAGTGACACGTTATTCTAATTTCGCACCCCTTTTCAGTGCACACATACATATATTCCTGGACACATTTTTTCCTTATTTTCCAGCGAGGGTGCGCTTGTCAAAATAAACATTTCCATATGGTGGTTATATAGCCCCCGGGTGATGTGTCGCAATGTGACAAAGAGGAAAATGAAGAGAGGGGGGTTAAAAAGAAAGGAACAATCCGGGAGAGAGTGTTTAGAAAGAGGTCTCGAATGAGGTCACTTCTTTTCTGTTGAATGCAGACTAATTACAGACCGATGCAAAGTCTTCTCAATGATGTTTAAAGACTCGCTCGTCACTCTGAAGTGTTGACAAAGCGGCGGAAATTGTTCGTCTTTCAAGGTTCTGGTTTCTTAGGGCATATTCTTGCTATATATAACATGCCTAAGAGCCGCTCCAAGGACTTGAAAATATCTCACTTTTGTGGCACTTATCGATGGTCGATGTGAGAGATGTCTTCTTCGGTTTCCTTTTTTTCCATTTACCGATTTGCATTGTTTCGAGGCTTTTTCCCTCTGCCAACACAATGACAACTTTTGTTGTTCTCTACAAATAAAGTTCTGTAACCGAAGTGCGGTTAAACAAAAGTTTTTCTTGTCATTTAATTATAAAAAATTGTGTTATATTTTGTATTCTTGCAAGCTCTGGTGCAGAGACAACATGTATATATTTTGAGCAACTCATGTTGCGAGAATTTTTATGGAAAACAGCAGGAGGAACCACCGTGTTCGACACCAGAAAATAAACCCGCAAAGCTATGGCAAAGTCAGCAATATTTGGGTGCAGGGAAAGAAATCTTAATTAACTCTGAAAATTATATTTTCAGTTTTTCAAAATTAATAATTAATCAGGGGAGCAAAGTACGAGTATATAAACTTTAAATATAAAACTGAAAGGAAAAAGTTTTTTTTAAGAACCTTTTTCAAAATTTGTTTTCTGTGTAAGTGCTGCTGCGTTGGCAGATTGCAATTTCGTTTGCAGCTTCGAACTCGAACCTTCCCGCCTTCCGCCGATTCGACATGACAACATGAATAATTCACTTGAACCCGCCACAAAAAACAAAAACAGCAACAACAACAAACCGAAACTGAATCTGCAACCCGAAATGTTCGAAAAGTTCAATGCACGCAACCGCAAAATCCAGATTTTGACCAACTAAAAAAGAAGGAGAATGCGATTTTTTGGGGGAGAATCGGGAAGAAAGAGAGACGATCGTCAAGGCAATTACAGGAAACGTTTCTGACCATGACCATGTATCTTGGCAACAATGTACATATCTCGTTTTGCATTTTAGCATACTGTACTTATTGTGGAGGCGTTTTCCTTTAAGGATTAGGGCCAATTTGCATAGGTGCGTGGGTGATTCGTAGTTGGCGGATTGCATTACAGTAAAGGACAAGGGTAGAGATTCTAGGCGAAAGAAATATGTAGTACCAGCTCCCACTTCAGGATAGAACTGATCGTCGTTCTGTACTTAAGTTGTTCAGTTGAGTGGCTTAAAGTGCCGTTAAAACAAGCTTGGCCCGCAAATCTCACACCTCTTTTGGATGGATGGACGGACGAAGCTCCTCCATTTCAGCATTTTATATACCATTGCCAACTCCACACACCGGGCCTATAAAATATCAGAAATTATCTGCCTCCACGCCTCGAATCGCACTTAATCACCTCAAGGAGATGGCCGAAGGAGTGGAACGGTCGAAACGGAAGTCGGCAACAGTTTTTTTCCTCTTCGTCGTTTCTTTTTTTTTAAATGCAGTCATTTAGCCAAAGTGCCAAAGTGCTGTGGCCATATACACGTTCCATGTTTCGGTAAGGAAGACCGAGACTCTCTAGGCTTACGAAGATCTGTGATATGGCCACGCCCTGGGACTGAAAGAACTCAATTCTACCGGATGATTTTCTCCTCGCCCGAGCTTCGGTAATTATTTTGTGGCCAGTGGAGCGAGCGATAAGACAAGCTGGTAAAGTAAACAAAGTTTTTGCATTGTTTTTCCATAGCATCTTTTTTTCTTGCATTTTCTGGTTTCAGGTTTCGCGTGCCCATGGGCTACATTAATTGAAAAAGTCGCTCGCTTTGGTTGGCAAGCAAATGAAGTTGGTCTTGGCTTTGGAACTTACTTGACTGCTCCCGCCGCCCACTGCTCTTGTTCACTTAAACCCCTTCGCCTGCCCTCCACCTCCTACGTTAACCCCCTTTTCAGACTTATCGGTCAACAAAATGCAGTCGCTGGCCGGCGATAAACTGTGGCCATGGCTGCCTTAAAGTAGATCGATCGCTTGATTGGCGACGGAAAAGCGCCTGCCCCATCTGCAACTCACCCCTCCAACCCCCCTTCATTTGTCTGGCCGCTTTTCACTTGGAAAAATAACTTTACAGATTTCGTATTATATGAAGAGTTGTAGAGGAAAGTTTAAGACCTTCATTAACCTCATTAAAAAGTATGCTCTTACAGATTATTCAAAGTAAAACTACTCAGCTGTAATTAGTTGCTCTTTGCTACAGTTAAATGATTAAAGGTAGAG